ATTGAATATTAAACAATATGGAGAAGTATACCTACAAAAAGCAAATTAAAAATCTATGTTTTGATCTTCGTGTGTAAAATTAGGCGAATATGTTGTTAAAACTCTCAAGATGTTAGAAATTAAAAACGTGGCTAATGAAAACATCTGTTGTGGAGAAAGATGAGTTAAAAATCTACACTCATTATCTTTCAATTAACCAGAAAAAACTTCCATTAACTACAGTCAGGTTTTAAAACTACTGGAAGAAGATAAATTACATGAAAATTGAGGTGAAGTTTAAATTTGACCTCATTTTACACCAGATGCACATGCAATCTTGTAATTTAATTCACAACATGTGCATGCACACATTTTATACGTTTCATTGTAGTTATAATAAAAACATGAATTATACTTGTGATAGACTTGTGATATTCACGCGTCAGCCATATTGAATCCAGAATGAGGCTCATAACGCAGACTTAAATAGGTGGTGTTGTATAAAAAGGAATAAGATGAATAATATCTTATTATTGTGAAGATGCACCTTTTTATGAATAAGTCTTATGGACTATTTAAAGTAAACAAGAGAATAGAAGAGAATATACAAATAGCACCGAACCTTATGGAATATCAGCAACCACTGCTTAGCTGTTGAAAAGATATCTTAGAAGTTAAGGCCTCCCTTTATTTTAAATTAATTAATTTTACAATTCATCGAAATATGCTTAGAATCCTGAACAAAACGATAACAGAAAATAGTCTACTTTGATTATCCACGCTCATAAATAAAATCACAAATTGAACAGGAACCAAAGAGGCACGCCGCCAAGGTAGTAAAAACTCACAAAATCTCAAACGAACCATAAAAACACCTCTGAACCATACTAAAAATAAAACTTTATGATCAATTGGTCAGTTGAACTAATTTATGATGATAGACAAAGTGTGTTGAGGTCTATCAAAGGGACATAATTGTCTATTTTTGGGTGATTTATGACCAAATAAGGGTCAGAGAATTAAATGAAAGCCTCTCGGACCAAAGTACTAAAAATTATAGAAAATCTATTTGTAAATCAGGGAGTTAAGCGGAGATTAATCTGCTGTCAGTGGAAGAAATTTGAGTTTAATGATCGGACTTTTCATTAAACATCCATTAGTTTTTAGAGCTTTATAGTTTAATGGTTCTAAATTTAGGTTTCAAATCGTCTGTTATTCAGCAGCTTCGTACTTTAATCTGTTTGAATTTAGGAATTCTTAATACAGAAATTCAGCATTTAGGGACAAATTTGTCAATTACTGCCCCTTTTAGAGAGTCTACATACTATAAGGTTTATTTGGTATACTTGTATCAGGATTAAACAATATGAACTCATAATCTCTTTTGAAAGTCAACAAATAATTTTGAGCATTATCGCTTATCTTGTTTGATTTAAAGTTCAGAATACTTTATTGAATACAACTCTGTATGTCAACTGAAACTAAAAATTCCTTTTTGAGAGTCCACATATCTATTAGACTTTAATTCATTCTCAATATTATTTTCATACGAAATTAAGTTTAATTATTTGTGCTGAAATTAGGCAATATTTGGCTCTGCTTTTTGCTTGGGTTTGTCGAATCCTTTGCAGATGTATCATTTTATATCAGGCATTTTTCATGCTATACCAATGAAGAAAAGGCATTCAAAGCATTTAACCCTTCGATGCCTGATAATCAAATCAGGTCAAACATAACTGATGTCATAAAACGGCAGTAAAAGTGTCAGTAGATTATGATTGAAGTGTCAGTTTCTATAGAAACAATAGAGGTGTGCCATTCATGGTTCACTAACAATAGAGGAGTGTGTCTTTATTTATAATTAACGGCTTGTTAACGCCTCATTACAATCCTAACATGCACCTGCTAATGGGTGAAATTGGGCCAATAAATGCACATGCATATTAAAGAATGTGACATTTGATGGTATATTAGGTTCTTATTGTTCCTCTTCTTAAAACAGACTGCTGATTATTGAGAGATTTTGCTTAGAAACCAATCGACCAACATAGAAAGATTACTGACTTTGAATATAATGTAGTTTTATTTACAAATGAATTCTGGAGGTCTATGCCAACAAGAGAATTTACTCAAGAAAAAACCTTTTCACAAATAATTTTGGGGGTGTGAGACTGGGGTGTCATGGCGTGGCCAATTGTTGTAAAAGAAGAATTAATCTTTGTCACGCCACACCATCCAGGTCCGAGTTCCACCACCATGTCATTCGACCCGACCAGATCTAACGAAGAATCAACAACCAAACCAACAACACAGAATGGTCCAATTTGATCCAATCCAACTACTACGACTACGACTACCAACAACTACCAACTACTACGACTACCAACAACTACCGCTGGAAGCGAACGTTAACTTGTCATCTACTAACCAATTTCCTTTTGATGTTTTGAATATCTAATAATCTGGGCTGTGATTAGGTTTTAATGATTGCTCTGTAGGGTAAGGAAAAAGTTTGGTACCACTGAAATGCCACTAATCCAAGAGAGCTAAAGAACATTAGCTTTTCCACTTTTTAAAAGCTAGAAACTGACCTCATTATAAAATATAGGAAACCAGTTCCCTCCAGGTGAAACAATTTAAATAGAATATAGACCAGATCAAAAGACTCAAGTATGAAATTTATTAACCCAAACAGTTTAAAACAACATTTAGTTTGGCCAATTGACCTCTGACACGGAAACTCCATTTCCTTTTAAGAGACAGGATGTTCAAGTCAAAAGGAAGCCATGTTGGAAATTGTTCAATGTGTTTTCATGATTGAACTAGCAGTAAGTATTGACATGGTAGAATATAAAACACATGTAGTTCAAAGGTCAGGTCAGGAGAGAGGTCAAGGGTCAAATATTTCAGACCACCAACTGATATCCTGTATGGAGCTTCCTGATAATCTTCAAACCAGTGGCATCTTTCTGCTTTTAACTCATCAAGTCTGCCAATTTCAATAAAAAGCATTGTTTCATTTTAACTAAAACAAATATTTTACTTGAAGCTGTAAGTTTTTATTATATTATAAATGTTAACCATTTTTAATCCTTGTAAGACATTTAGAAGTATCACTGCACATTAAGAGACAACAGTTGTTACCTGTATGTGTAATGAAATGTTGTGTTCAAATAGAAGTCTATATCCATAACAATCGTTGTCTCTCAAAGTAAACCATTTTGTATATTTTAATAGAATTGCCTTGATTGAACAATTTCTTATTGTTTATGGATACGGTCGAAATAGGCTATTATAAACTTTGTCTCTGGATCAACTATATTGTATTGAAGTGTAAAAATAAATATAGTTTAAAAATAGTTCCAATGATAACAATGACAAAATCTATCAGGTGCAACTGGCAAGTATAGTCAAAACAACAACCCTGATTCCATCCATAACAGAAAAATTGTCCTACAAAATGAAATATAGTCAATGTCCTATGTGAATTATAAATGAGCGGAAAATAGGGTAGTAAATATGAATTTTCTTTCCAAAATGTACCAGCTGATTTGTTTGACCTTTGTACCAATTAATTCCACTTTCAACTTCTACTGAGTTCAGAAAAAATCAAAATGGTGGAAAGTTTACTAAAAACTATCCTTGATGACTTTTTCAAGTTTAAACTTTATCAGATGTTTTAACCATTAACCTTTTTATTTTCACGTTTTTTATACTCTCAATTTCAGCTTGCTTTGATTTACATTCTGATTATTTTATATTTATGACAAAATTTTGACATCTCAGTCCAATTATTTTTAGTTCCATCTTGTAGTATAGTACTATAACACCCTATAGAAAATATAAAGTTGGTGCAAAGTGGTTCCCTTTGGAAACTGATTACCAAATGCTAAAAAGGCGCACTTGGTTTGGTCTTATGTGTAATTTCTATATAAAAAATCCTCACTTTTCAGTCAAATATGCCATGCATCAAAGTTTCAGTAAAATGTGCCATGCATCATAGTTTCAGTGAAATGTGTCAAGCAGACTTCCCAGTAAAATGTGCCATGCATCATAGTTTCAGTAAAATGTGCCATGTATCATAGTTTCAGTAAAATCAGCAAAGCAGACTTCCTAGTAAAATCAGCAAAGCATCATAGTTTCAGTAAAATCAGCAAAGCAGACTTCCTAGTAAAATGTGCCATGCATCTGAATTTTCCAGTGTGAAATATGTGTGAAATATGGTAGGTAAATGAAAATAGTTGAAGTATTAAGTACTCTACCATGTTACAAGGTGTTAATTAAGGTGATATCTGACTGATAGATAGAACAGTAACGAGGTGATAATGGAATTAAAGTGGCAATATGGGTCTGCCTTGTTGTATACATGTCAAAATGTCGAAATTAAAAGCTAATTCATTTTAAGGTCGTTGTTTTCCTCATGTTTATCGAAAACTTTTCAATACAGTAATGGAAGTAAATTCTTATATACATCTTTCTTTAGTAATCATGTAGATCATATGTGTCTTAAACTTTCCTGTTAAAAAGTCTTAAAAATCATGTCAGTATAAAATTTTGTGTCGATTACATTTTAAATATTTTGAAGCCTATTGGTGGTCCAGAAAAAAATGATCCAAAGATGAGTTCCATCAGCAGGTTGAACACAACTAGAGAGATGATCACTAAGATGCAATAGTCCAAGAGCAAAATCATACTTCGAATTACAAGATGAGTTTTAGATAACTACACAGAATTTAGTTTTTGAAAGATGACCAACCAATATGCAAAAGCCAAGAGAGGGGGAAATGTCACAGTTAACTCCTTTAATAGCAGGATTTAGTTAAGGGCAATCAATAGAATTAATTGGAATTAGATTGTGAAGACTGAGAGACAGGAATCATGCCAAGTTTTAGGTCATTCCAAAGATGACCAATCAAAATACAATAGACAATGATTAACTCTGAATGTTAGTCAGCTCTTGGAAATCTACCAGCCAATATGCAAATGACAAAAGACATTGATGCCAAGGGTCACCTTTGGAATTACAGGGTGAAATCTGAAAATATGACAAACCACCAAAATATGCAGAAGATGAATACAGAGAGAAAGGAATCATGCTAATAGTCAACTCTGGACTTACTGGAAGAATAAATAACAGGAGCAGTGCTATAAGTGGTACCTTGAACTAAATATGGTGGCTCGAAGTCTACATCATCATCCATATACTGTTGTTGCTGCCTGCGTATACTCTCGGCATCAGAGTAGTTCCCCCTGACGGAAGGTCCAAACTGTTTATGACGAGGACCAGGACTACGTTGTGGAATGTCTTCTATCGGTGGGGGAGGGGGAGGCGGTGGCAGCACTGGTGGTGGGGCTGAACCTGAAAAATACAAAAAAGAATTATGAGTACAAGCTCTGGCGGTGGAGCTGAACCTGAAAAATACAACAACAAAAAAACCTGAGGCATTTAATTTCAACCTCCTTCAATTATTTTGAAATAAAGCAACAAAAAACACCCGCCTCAATGCTTCGTTCTAAAGAAAAAGAGTTAAATTTTAAACATTTTCGATCATGCGTTCATTTATTTCCAGCTTCAAACATACCTCAAAATGTATAAATGGATGCCTTTTGCTTAAGAAAATTCCCCAACCAAGCTGATGTTAGTTAAACCTCTATTCCAGCCTCTGATAGCTATTTTGAAAGTTGTCGTCTGGTGTAGGAACAGAAAAACTAGGACCTCTTACGTATGATTTTTCTGCAAAACTATCAAAATCAGAGGCTGGAATTGAGGCAAAGCTGGTGTTAGGGTGTATTGAGACTAGTCTCAATGAAAGCACTGGCCTAGATCACAGAGCAATAGATAAGTCGTGTGAGATTGACATGATTAAGGAAACCACAGAAGTAAACATCTATTACTGGTATAATCCTGGATTGAACTTTGACAATTTGTTATTTTTATTCATTGCTTTCTAATCTTTTTGTTAAAGGGATAATCAGAGGTTCTTTAACCTGCGTATTTTGGGGATTGCATATTTTATTTAGAAGGAAAAAATAAATCACACGATAACGTGCAAACAGTAGGTAAAAATTCAATACAATTAGAGTAAATATAGCTATGTTTCGGGACTAATCCCTTTATCAAGAAACATAGCTATATTTTCTCTAATTGTCTTTAGCACGTTACTGTGTGATTTGTTTTTTCATTTATTACAAGTCAACTCATTCTATTTTTTATTATATTTACACTATTCTGATCTTTGTTGTATTTCAGAGACACTTATAACTTCTATTTACACCATTCTGATCTTTGTTGTATTTCAGAGACACTTATAACTTCTATTTAGACCACTCTGATTTTCTAGTCTTTGTATGTGTATCAGTTACACTTATAGCTTCTATTTACACCATTCTGATCTTTGTTGTATTTCAGAGACATAGCTTCTATTTACACCATTCTGATTTTCTAGTCTTTGTATGTGTATCAGTTACACTTATAGCTTCTATTTACACCATTCTGATCTTTGTTGTATTTCAGAGACATAGCTTCTATTTACACCATTCTGATTTTCTAGTCTTTGTATGTGTATCAGTTACACTTATAACTTCTATTTACACCATTCTGATCTTTGTTGTATTTCAGAGACACTTATAACTTCTATTTAGACCACTCTGATTTTCTAGTCTTTGTATGTGTATCAGTTACACTTATAGCTTCTATTTACACCATTCTGATCTTTGTTGTATTTCAGAGACATAGCTTCTATTTACACCATTCTGATTTTCTAGTCTTTGTATGTGTATCAGTTACACTTATAACTTCTATTTACACCATTCTGATCTTTGTTGTATTTCAGAGACACTTATAACTTCTATTTAGACCACTCTGATTTTCTAGTCTTTGTATGTGTATCAGTTACACTTATAGCTTCTATTTACACCATTTTGATTTTCTAGTCTTTGTATTTATATCAGGGACACTTATAGCTTCTATTTACACCATTCTGATTTTCTAGTCTTTGTATGTGTATCGGGGATACTTATAGCTTCTGTTGCACCATTCTGATTTCTCATTTGATGTCTGTGGTTCCTGTAATTCTAGTAATAAGTTTGTTGTGTTCTTTATAATTTGAACTATCACTATCTCAGATACAAAGAAAATTGGCAATTGAAAAAGTAACCTCATAATCATGTACAGTTTTCTGGAAATAGAGATTCTTTAGCAAATAGAGGCTAGAATGTCCCAGATATACATACAATGTCTAGTTCATCTCTTTCTATTCACTTTAAATGAAACATTTCAATCTTACTAAGAAAATCCTAGATTGAAAAATCCCTTTGTAAAAAAAAAAACAAGTTAGTAATAAGGAGAAACCAAGAAAATTCAATAAAGCTACAGATTAGGCCTTTTTTATTTTCAAAATTTAATTTTCGCAAGGAAGAAAGAAAAGATGCAATTCTAATTATAACGAATTTAAACATTTTCTGGAGTTGATATTCGTACAAATTGAATTTAATCTTGATTGGTTGATTTTACTTCAGATTCGCTTTTTGTCCAATCCAAAATTTGACTGTAGCCAAAGGCGTTGTTTCCATGCTGTTAATACAAAATTTGGACTTTCTCTATAAAGAAAAAATAAATTTTTGCTATTGAGCAGTATTTCTTTACAAAAAATGTTTACTTTGGAAAAGTTTAGACTAAAACTGTTCGTTACATAACAAAACCATAAATTGAATTAAGCTCCTTCATATTTGTGAATCCCAAAATTTGGAAAAGCAACTCTTATACATGAAATAAATATGTTGACGACTTGGCTAAAGAAATTGGATACAAATTGTAACTTTTTGATTTTATTTTCTTTCTTTGGATTGCAAACTAAGGCTACAGTCCATGCAAGTTTTCAATTCCTCATCAGTTGGAAATCAAAAGTGCACCTCATTGTATACTCTAGATATATGTTCTGAATTCATTCGTACAAAATGGAGAAGTAAAACTGGCTATTAAACTGTTTCATTTGATTTGCAATCAAGCTGTTTACACAAAATATTGACCACAAACCAGAAAACAATCACAACAAGACTATATAGTTTCCTTTTTAATATATCATTACAATCAAAACTCTGCTCTCAGCAATTCTAGATGGTTTATCTAGTTGACCATCTATTGTGGCCTGGCCATGGCTATTCGCCACTTGCGTGGTATTCAATAGACTACAATAACAATTCTGCCTATTAGATTAGACCAGGGAACGATTTCCCCAGGGTCTGTCTGAATAATCTTAAATCAACTCGATTTCTTCACCAACAATCTGCCAATTCTCAAGATGAGTTTATAATACCCTTGTGGTTTCGCTTGATGTAGAGTTGCCAAATTATTTCCCCTACAGATCAATGCAGTGTTGCCAAATTATTTCCTCTGGAGGCTGGTGTTCAATGTAATGGTGCCAAATTATTTCCTTTAAGCCTGGTATTGTTGATCTTTAGATCAAACCTCCAAGACACCTTTAAGCTCTGTCGTTATGAATTAAGGAATTCATTAGAGAACTGGGTCGGAAATTCCGTCAAGTGTCTCTTATTATGCAATGAAGAGCAATTTGAAGATTTGTTTTAATTGTTTTACGACGACCGTCAATGGAAAGTCGATTCTGTGAGTCTTGGAACCTGAGGCTATCAGTGAGAATTTTATTGGGAAAATCTTTAATTAAATAAGGCGTTGAGGAAAGGGTCGAGAATGTAAAGGAATCTCTGCCGAATGAATCATATCATCAAATCAAATTCAATAACCAACCAAGCATTCTCACCGTCACAAATTAACTTCTTGATTCAAGAAAAAATAGGCCGATTTGGTAATGATTAGATCTTGATTACAATTTGTAAAAATCCACTGTATTCCTACACTAATTGTGTTCCAATAAAAAATAGTCCCTGAGGATTGTTAATTCCCAAATAAGCAATTAGTGAATATGGTTTATCAAACTTTTTAAACGAAGGCAAATTTGAATAAAACACACATTATTTCTCGTTCTCTAGAACTCCTGAAGTCTTGAAAAATGCATATCCTTTACACCACATTCATTGATGCATTAAGTGATACAAGAAAAGTGCTATGACAGTCAAGGTATTAGACACAGTTCGTAATAGCTTGATATTGTGAAGATGATGTTTTTACGTTTGAACTAATATTGTTAATTGGTGTTTAATCTGAATTCAACCTACAGTTAGCCGACACCCACCATTAAACTGTTTTCAGCGTGTCAATTACATTTATTATGTAATATAAAACTTGTTATAACTGTTACAGTTTTTATAAATCTCTGGTATTCCATAAAATAAACAATTAAATCCTTCCTGGCAGACACAGTTTTTTTTTAAAAACTTTGTATCAAGATGTTGTTACTCAGTTCTTAAGCTTTCAGGTATTATATAGTGTTTCATATCAGAATTCAGCCAACCTAGCAGTGGTAAAGGGTTAAATTGGAAGCTCATTTAGAGATTTTGAAAACTTTGTACCGAGATGGTGATTTTATAATTTTTATATCAGCATTAAGCCAACCAAAAGGATGTGAAGGATGCCATTTGAAGCCAATATAGTATAAGGTACAAAAAGCATTTTTCCATTCTAGAGAATTTTGAAACAAATTTTAAAGTATGTTACAGATAGCATTAACAGATTGAAATGAGGTTTTCTAAATTTTGTATGTGCATCAGGGACAATGATAGCATCAGCGTAGTGGAAATGGTGCAAATTAATGCTATCAGTGTCCCCGATAAGCATAAAAAATTTTAAAATCCTCTTTACAATCCCTTGAAGCTAACAGCATATATAAATGCAAGCCAGCTTAGAGGATATAATGGTCAGAGTGATTGCAATAGATGAATCAACCTATATTAAAGATGTCATTTAAGTCTAGCAAAATGATGGATATTAAGTCTCTCAGCAGTCTTAATAAAATATCAAAATATCTATTATCAAACCTGCATGAAAATCATTTTATTTACATTAATAAAGAGGTGGTAATATTCTTTTTATGTCTGCTGTGGAATATTTCCGTTCATTTCCCAGGACAATTCCTCGTACAATCAAATATAAGCTCTCGTCATCCTGGGAAATTATCATTATCTTGTTCCATGACAAATATTCTACATCATACACTAAAGCAAACAATTTACATTATTACTTGCACGATACTGCGGATTAAAGATGGCTGTCCACAGGGACGAGAAAACAGACTCCATGTTTCCGTGGAGATTTAGAATTTATTACGATAGCTAATAGATAGGTTTTTCTGTTGCATGACTCGATCTTATCATGCGAATATTTAAGTCCTTTTTTCTTTTACCATAATTTTTTTAGGTCGACGAGGATTTTTGTTTGAAATCTCC